ATGGGTTAAAAGCACTGAAAACTTCTAGTTGTTTTAAAAGTTCTTGCGTCTTAAACAAAAATCAATAACATTTCAAATACCGAACCTAAACTATAGTCAAGTATCCTTCTAATATTGCAAGGCTTCCGCTTCATGATGGATGCTCAAGCGCACCATTCCATGAGCTGGCCATTGAGAGCGAAGCTTCGAAAATAGCTGTTTGAAACTTGCGATTTTAAGTTTGGGGCTAGGAAATCGCAGAGAGCCGCTAGCTAGCCTTCAAGGAATTTATAAAAATTGCTCACAGCAAGAGTCCACAGATTGAGGCTTCAATCTCGTATGGAAACACAAAAGTAAAATATTCGTCGAAAATGTCAATTTAATTTCTTTTTCCCGCAACTCTTCCAAAGAAACACTGCTTGATGCTTTCAAAAAACGTCACATTGTCCTATATGGGCACTAGGTGTAATTTCTGTTTCTAAATTGTGTTCCTCTGAAAAAACTGCTGCGGTAGGCTTCGGGCAGAGTTCACGCGATTTGATCGTCGCGATTCAATCGCGACAAGACAACTGTCACGAGTTCATTGCATGCCGACCAGCTTGCATTTCGGTTGTGATACTTTTCTAGCAAATTTTTGAATGTAAAATGAAAATGAATGGAAATCGCGGCGACTGAATCGCGACGATCTAATCGCGTGAACTCTGTCCGAAGCCGTAAGGGGACCAGGGGAAAGTTCAAGCAACAGTCACAACAATTACCACCTCAGAAATTATACTGAACATACAAGAAAACCTAAAAGCAAAAATCGTAGTAGACCAAGTTTTTTGCACAGTGACCAACACGATACTTACAGGATGTTACAATTGTGCAAAAGGCGCAACAGCACAAATTTCAGTGTAGCCGCGAGACAAGTTTATGCAGAAATTACATGCGGGGAATCAAGCTTCACAGTAGCATGCGACAAAAATGGCAAACAGTCTACTCTAAGATTTAGTCCAGCACAAGCTAGGATGCATATGCGGTGGAGGGTGAGCTGCGGAGGAGAACCTACGAGCTTTGAAATTGCCGGCATCCTCAAGTACACTCATACAGCACAAGACATAATACAAGGCTGGTTAAAAGGATCATCAAACGAGTACCAAGAAATAAAATTGCCAGATTTTCCGCACATATTTGACGTTTTCATACAATGGCACAAAACCGTGCTTTGCGTACTAATAGTAGCGGTACTAGGTTTACTCTTTATTACCTACACTTGCTTCACAACGTGCGGAATAAAAATTATCCACCTTTTGCTGCGCCTTCAATTCCGCCTACTCAAAAAAGTAGTGAAATCTGTTCTATTCATACCAATTTGGATTATAGCTCAAACAATTAGACGCAGCAATAGACAACACAATTAAAAAACTTCCCTTTTAATCAAGATTTCCGATAGAAAATAGACTAAAAGTAGGAAAAAAGTATACAAGAAACAAGAAGTAGAATACCAATTTTATTTCAGCACGATGTCACACATGGAAAAGCTTGAATACCTAACGAACGAAATCGCACCAAGAGTCACCATAACAATACCAATGCTGGAAGAAGACTTGGGGAAAACGCTAGAACAACTGAATAGACAAGTAGATGTGGCAATGACTATCAACCAAGAATGGATTTACCTCAAAAAGGAATGGTTCAAGTACGCGGAAACAGAACAAGTTGTCACGATATCCCGCCTAATTCGCGCGGCGGGAGCAGCGAGAGACAGCTACCTCAAGCTGTGTACTCGCTTGATTTTGACGGCCAAATGGATGGAAAAGTTCCGGCGTATAGAAATAGAGCCGGAAAGTCGGGAAAGGGTGTGGCTAGACGACATCCTGTGCATGGACATGAAAGGACAAATGCAAAAAATGAACAAGATTATAGAAAAGTTGGAAAAGGAAGAGAGAATCGTGGTAGCACATCTCAAGACAGTAAATGAGGACTTCCATAGAGCACAACGCGACCACCTCACCATATGTCATCTGCAAGAACGTCTCCGAGAAACCGAGGCGGAGCTTTTCTCGATCAAGGCCAAAAGAGCAAGGCTGGAGATGGGTACAGAAGAGGCACCTCCTAACACTCCCGAAACAAGGAAAGACAAGCAACTTACAGAAAGAGAGGAAGCAACGCAAGCAATGGACATTCCAAGAGGCGAAGAAACAACTCAAGTAATGGATATTCCAAGACTTGTGGACGATGAGGAGGAAGAGATGGAACAAGAGGAGGAACTTATGGTGATTGACGAAGAAGAAGTTGGGGAGGAAAACAGTGCTGGGAAAAGACAGGAAGAAGGTCTGGACGATGACGGATACCTCGACCAGCTACTACAGGAAGCCAGAGAGACGCCCCAAGAACTCGACGAACCAAGTATCCAATCATTAGAAGAATCTATACCAAGAGTGAACGTCGTCATTGAGCGAGCGGAGGAGGACATGAGGAGAGTACAGGAGCAAGTTGACGCTGAAGTTCGAGGCAAGATACCAAGACAGGGTCAAAACGAGATTCAAGAGTTGCAGAATCATATCCAAGAATTGGAAGCCCGCATTCAAGTAACGCGGGAGGAAAATCGAGCAAGGGAAGAAGAGGTCTACGAAGTAGAGAGGGCCATCCAAGAACTCCCGCGACGCATCCTGCAAGACGCCCCTGAAAAAATTACAGCGAACATAATCTGTGCCTTCTGTAAGACGCGGGGTCGACACTTTTCAGATTCCTGCTACGTCATTACAGATGGAGACGAAAGGTACAACCTCGCTGTGGAAGAGGGATTGTGCCATAGATGCCTGCTTGGGCACGGCGGCAGGTGCAGGAATCCCTTTCGCCCGTGTTTCTACTGTGAGAAAGTCTCGGGGACCGTGTCGGAGGAATTTTGTCCCAGAGACGAAGATCATCACAAGGCTCTATGTCCCATACCCAATGCGGAAGACAAACTCCAACAACGAATCCAGAGGATCATGGACCGCTATCTCGAAGTCGGACGAGACATAGAGAGAATGGAAGAGCAAAGGGACAACCTCAAGAATCAAGTAGAACAGATCCTTCGTCAGGATCCAGCACCACACCCGAGACCATAACTCGTCGCCGCCAGTGTCGTGAAACACGACTTCAAATCCAAGGATTTATCAAGTACGTATTGATCCAACATTTCATTATTATTTTCGCCAAGTCTTTCTTACAGGAATGCTTTGTTTACTTGCAAGCGCGGAGCCGACTCCAGATGGTGCGAACGATAAGGGGACGATCGTCGTCTATGCAGCTCGTCGGCTGCTCAAGCAAGTATCATTTTCACATAATTTGCATATTTTCTTTATCTTCAAATATCATCTAGGTTCACACTATATAAGCTTGTCTGACTGTAAGCTCATATTTTTCCGACTTGAAGTTTTATCACTTTTGTATTATTTTCTTGCATCTTTTTGAGCAATTAGATCCAAAACAGCATAATAATCAAGTGTTGAGTAGGATAAGCATAATCAAGTATCATAGCAGTGAGAACTACCATTAGCATCCTACTCTCAGTGATTTTTGTCAGTAGTAATTGAGATCATCATTCATTTGTATCTGTTATGTAGTTTAGTTCATTTATTTGTTTGTTCTATGGTATTTTGTCGAATTTTGCGTATAATAGTCAAAGTAAAAGGTTTAATTACCCAAGTTTGAGTTGAGGTACACGTCGACAATAATACGCCCGCGTGGCAGATCAAGTTCAAGTGTCTCTTGGTATTAGACGATTATTGTTCTAAATATCTTGCGTATCCTCAACACATGGAGGGTCACTACAAAGAACAATGCATTCCATGTTTGATCAGAGCACCTTAAAAAAACAATTGTTCTCTTTTCTCATCTGGATGGCAACGAAGTTCAATAAAGGCTAAACAGAAAGTCTTGAAAAATTATGTCCTAGATGTCTGTGAGTTCATTGAATGGATATGATGAACAAATATATCAAGTCAGATATTAGGTTTGCTCGAGAGTTCTTGCGTAATTCAAACAGAATTCAATAACTTTACAAGGCCCAAACCTAACTTCGAAATCTTGTTCCTTAAAATTATTAGAAGGCATGCACTCTTTGATGGGTGCATGAGATTCCTTGAGCTAGCCACCGAGAACGAAGCTCGCGAAAATGGAGCTTTAAATCTTGCGACTTTGAGTTTGGTGCCAGAAATCGCAGAGGGTCGCTAACTAGCCGAAAAAAAGGAAATTACTTACACCAGGAGTCCATACATTACTTTGGCAGGCTTTGATCTCGCGTGGATATGCGAGAACAAAAAATTCGTGAAAAATGTCATTTTACACAATAAATCGTCTTATCTTTGAAGTTCTCCCTCAGAAACACAGTTTGGAACGGAAAATCGCACAAAGTGCTTATTTAGAAGATTGCAGCGTTTTTTTGGAGTGTCAAAAAGTGTTTTCGACAAAAAAGTGCAGTGATAAGGGGATTATCTCTGCGAAATGACATTTTTCATATCCACGCGAGATCAAAGCCTGCCAAAGTAATGTATGGACTCCTGCAATGTGAGTAATTTCCTTTTTTTCAGCTAGCTAGCGACCCTCTGCGATTTCTGGCACCAAACTCAAAGTCGCAAGATTTGAAGCAGCATTTTTGAGAGCGTTCTCGGTGGCTAGCTCAAGGAATCTTATGCACCCATCAAAGAGTGCATGCCTTCTAATGATTTTAAGGAACAAGATTTTGAGTTTAGGTTCAGGCAATGTAAAATCATTGAATTCTGTTTGAAGTACGCAAGAACTCTCGAGCCAACCTAATATCTGACTTGATATATTTGCTCACCATATCCATTCAGTGAACTCACAAACATCTAGGACAAAATTTTTTGAGAATTTCCGTCTAGCAAATGCTCCCATCCAGATGAGACAAGCGAATAATTGTTTATTCAATTTGCTCTGATCAAACATGGAATGTAAAAGTCCGGTCTGGCGTGACCCCTCCCAGAATAAAAGTTACTTGCAGGCTACATACTTTAATTGTGTAGCTACAGAGTATGTGGCAACAATCAAAAATGCTTGCGCTTCTTCTCTTAACAGTTCTACGTAAGTCCCGGCAATATCTCCAACCATTTTGCGTCATCACAGCTAGAGCTTTCTTCTAGAGTACGGCTCTCAAGCAGAAGACTGCCTTAAATGCATTTGTTTGCAAGAGTCAGGATGTAAGCCCATTGGATGTCATATGGATGTTGGTTCACTTTCGTGTGGTTACTACCAGGTTAGTTCATCAAAAACTGTCTATATAATCTTTTATTATAAAAACTGGTTCATTCTGAAATGCAACGATTATTGTTTTTCTAGATCAAACTTCCTTATTACAAGGATTGTGGAACCCCTGGACGCAAAAATGGTGAAGATGTAACCACCGCTTGGAAGAGATGTGCCAATGATTACAAATGCGCCACACAATGCGTCAAGGTGTTACCATTTCTCTAATTTCAATGGAATTTTTCAAAAATTTACTTAGGCCTATATGAACCGCTACAAGAAACAATGTGCTTCGATTGGTCAATCCTCATGCCAGGCCATGGCTCGCTTGCACAATGGTGGCCCTTCTGGATGCAGCATTTCTGCTACCATTAAATACTGGAATGCCATCAAAAAGTGTTGCAAATGCTCTTAAACTTGCTTCTCCGAAAGTTATTGCCTAAATGAATTTTCAGAAATTCTGACATGTTTGAAGAACGCATAAAACCAACTACCCTATACCTTTGGAGCTGCTCAAGCAGAATTCTTTGCTTATGCAGCGAACTAGGGTCGCCAGAGGAGAAAATGATTCGCATATTCCGTCCTTCCTGTATTATTTTTCAAGATAACTTTACAACTTACTGACATACCCTACACAACAGCCATGTACTGTAGCCTTCACTCTGAAAAACGTTAAAAAGTGAAAAAACACATCAAATAAATGCAGGCATATGGGTTAAAAGCACTGAAAACTTCTAGTTGTTTTAAAAGTTCTTGCGTCTTAAACAAAAATCAATAACATTTCAAATACCGAACCTAAACTATAGTCAAGTATCCTTCTAATATTGCAAGGCTTTCGCTTCATGATGGATGCTCAAGCGCACCATTCCATGAGCTGGCCATTGAGAGCGAAGCTTCCGAAAATAGCTGTTTGAAACTTGCGATTTTAAGTTTGGGGCTAAAAAATCGCAGAGAGCCGCTAGCTAGCCTTCAAGGAATTTATAAAAATTGCTCACAGCAAGAGTCCACAGATTGAGGCTTCAATCTCGTATGGAAACACAAAAGTAAAATATTCGTCGAAAATGTCAATTTAATTTCTTTTTCCCGCAACTCTTCCAAAGAAACACTGCTTGATGCTTTCAAAAAACGTCACATTGTCCTATATGGGCACTAGGTGTAATTTCTGTTTCTAAATTGTGTTCCTCTGAAAAAACTGCTGCGGTAGGCTTCGGGCAGAGTTCACGCGATTTGATCGTCGCGATTCAATCGCGACAAGACAACTGTCACGAGTTCATTGCATGCCGACCAGCTTGCATTTCGGTTGTGATACTTTTCTAGCAAATTTTTGAATGTAAAATGAAAATGAATGGAAATCGCGGCGACTGAATCGCGACGATCTAATCGCGTGAACTCTGTCCGAAGCCGTAAGGGGACCAGGGGAAAGTTCAAGCAACAGTCACAACAATTACCACCTCAGAAATTATACTGAACATACAAGAAAACCTAAAAACAAAAATCGTAGTAGACCAAGTTTTTTGCACAGTGACCAACACGATACTTACAGGATGTTACAATTGTGCAAAAGGCGCAACAGCACAAATTTCATGTGTAGCCGCGAGACAAGTTTATGCAGAAATTACATGCGGGGAATCAAGCTTCGCAGTAGCATGCGACAAAAATGGCAAACAGTCTACTCTAAGATTTAGTCCAGCACAAGCTAGGATGCATATGCGGTGTAGGGTGAGCTGCGGAGGAGAACCTACGAGCTTTGAAATTGCCGGCATCCTCAAGTACACTCATACAGCACAAGACATAATACAAGGCTGGTTAAAAGGATCATCAAACGAGTACCAAGAAATAAAATTGCCAGATTTTCCGCACATATTTGACGTTTTCATACAATGGCACAAAACCGTGCTTTGCGTACTAATAGTAGCGGTACTAGGTTTACTCTTTATTACCTACACTTGCTTCACAACGTGCGGAATAAAAATTATCTACCTTTTGCTGCGCCTTCAATTCCGCCTACTCAAAAAAGTAGTGAAATCTGTTCTATTCATACCAATTTGGATTATAGCTCAAACAATTAGACGCAGCAATAGACAACACAATTAAAAAACTTCCCTTTTAATCAAGATTTCCGATAGAAAATAGACTAAAAGTAGGAAAAAAGTATACAAGAAACAAGAAGTAGAATACCAATTTTATTTCAGCACGATGTCACACATGGAAAAGCTTGAATACCTAACGAACGAAATCGCACCAAGAGTCACCATAACAATACCAATGTTGGAAGAAGACTTGGGGAAAACGCTAGAACAACTGAATAGACAAGTAGATGTGGCAATGACTATCAACCAAGAATGGATTTACCTCAAAAAGGAATGGTTCAAGTACGCGGAAACAGAACAAGTTGTCACGATATCCCGCCTAATTCGCGCGGCGGGAGCAGCGAGAGACAGCTACCTCAAGCTGTGTACTCGCTTGATTTTGACGGCCAAATGGATGGAAAAGTTCCGGCGTATAGAAATAGAGCCGGAAAGTCGGGAAAGGGTGTGGCTAGACGACATCCTGTGCATGGACATGAAAGGACAAATGCAAAAAATGAACAAGATTATAGAAAAGTTGGAAAAGGAAGAGAGAATCGTGGTAGCACATCTCAAGACAAGAAATGAGGACTTCCATAGAGCACAACGCGACCACCTCACCATATGTCATCTGTAAGAACGTCTCCGAGAAACCGAGGCGGAGCTTTTCTCGATCAAGGCCAAAAGAGCAAGGCTGGAGATGGGTACAGAAGAGGCACCTCCTAACACTCCCGAAACAAGGAAAGACAAGCAACTTACAGAAAGAGACGAAGCAACGCAAGCAATGGACATTCCAAGAGGCGAAGAAACAACTCAAGTAATGGATATTCCAAGACTTGTGGACGATGAGGAGGAAGAGATGGAACAAGAGGAGGAACTTATGGTGATTGACGAAGAAGAAGTTGGGGAGGAAAACAGTGCTGGGAAAAGACAGGAAGAAGGTCTGGACGATGACGGATACCTCGACCAGCTACTACAGGAAGCCAGAGAGACGCCCCAAGAACTCGACGAACCAAGTATCCAATCATTAGAAGAATCTATACCAAGAGTGAACGTCGTCATTGAGGGAGCGGAGGAGGACATGAGGAGAGTACAGGAGCAAGTTGACGCTGAAGTTCGAGGCAAGATACCAAGACAGGGTCAAAACGAGATTCAAGAGTTGCAGAATCATATCCAAGAATTGGAAGCCCGCATTCAAGTAACGCGGGAGGAAAATCGAGCAAGGGAAGAAGAGGTCTACGAAGTAGAGAGGGCCATCCAAGAACTCCCGCGACGCATCCTGCAAGACGCCCCTGAAAAAATTACAGCGAACATAATCTGTGCCTTCTGTAAGACGCGGGGTCGACACTTTTCAGATTCCTGCTACGTCATTACAGATGGAGACGAAAGGTACAACCTCGCTGTGGAAGAGGGATTGTGCCATAGATGCCTGCTTGGGCACGGCGGCAGGTGCAGGAATCCCTTTCGCCCGTGTTTCTACTGTGAGAAAGTCTCGGGGACCGTGTCGGAGGAATTTTGTCCCAGAGACGAAGATCATCACAAGGCTCTATGTCCCATACCCAATGCGGAAGACAAACTCCAACAACGAATCCAGAGGATCATGGACCGCTATCTCGAAGTCGGACGAGACATAGAGAGAATGGAAGAGCAAAGGGACAACCTCAAGAATCAAGTAGAACAGATCCTTCGTCAGGATCCAGCACCACACCCGAGACCATAACTCGTCGCCGCCAGTGTCGTGAAACACGACTTCAAATCCAAGGATTTATCAAGTACGCATTGATCCAACATTTCATTATTATTTTCGCCAAGTCTTTCTTACAGGAATGCTTTGTTTACTTGCAAGCGCGGAGCCGACTCCAGATGGTGCGAACGATAAGGGGACGATCGTCGTCTATGCAGCTCGTCGGCTGCTCAAGCAAGTATCATTTTCACATAATTTGCATATTTTCTTTATCTTCAAATATCATCTAGGTTCACACTATATAAGCTTGTCTGACTGTAAGCTCATATTTTTCCGACTTGAAGTTTTATCACTTTTGTATTATTTTCTTGCATCTTTTTGAGCAATTAGATCCAAAACAGCATAATAATCAAGTGTTGAGTAGGATAAGCATAATCAAGTATCATAGCAGTGAGAACTACCATTAGCATCCTACTCTCAGTGATTTTTGTCAGTAGTAATTGAGATCATCATTCATTTGTATCTGTTATGTAGTTTAGTTCATTTATTTGTTTGTTCTATGGTATTTTGTCGAATTTTGCGTATAATAGTCAAAGTAAAAGGTTTAATTACCCAAGTTTGAGTTGAGGTACACGTCGACAATAATACGCCCGCGTGGCAGATCAAGTTCAAGTGTCTCTTGGTATTAGACGATTATTGTTCTAAATATCTTGCGTATCCTCAACACATGGAGGGTCACTACAAAGAACAATGCATTCCATGTTTGATCAGAGCACCTTAAAAAAACAATTGTTCTCTTTTCTCATCTGGATGGCAACGAAGTTCAATAAAGGCTAAACAGAAAGTCTTAAAAAATTATGTCCTAGATGTCTGTGAGTTCATTGAATGGATATGATGAACAAATATATCAAGTCAGATATTAGGTTGGCTCGAGAGTTCTTGCGTAATTCAAACAGAATTCAATAACTTTACAAGGCCCAAACCTAACTTCGAAATCTTGTTCCTTAAAATTATTAGAAGGCATGCACTCTTTGATGGGTGCATGAGATTCCTTGAGCTAGCCACCGAGAACGAAGCTCGCGAAAATGGAGCTTTAAATCTTGCGACTTTGAGTTTGGTGCCAGAAATCGCAGAGGGTCGCTAACTAGCCGAAAAAAAGGAAATTACTTACACCAGGAGTCCATACATTACTTTGGCAGGCTTTGATCTCGCGTGGATATGCGAGAACAAAAAATTCGTGAAAAATGTCATTTTACACAATAAATCGTCTTATCTTTGAAGTTCTCCCTCAGAAACACAGTTTGGAACGGAAAATCGCACAAAGTGCTTATTTAGAAGATTGCAGCGTTTTTTTGGAGTGTCAAAAAGTGTTTTCGACAAAAAAGTGCAGTGATAAGGGGATTATCTCTGCGAAATGACATTTTTCATATCCACGCGAGATCAAAGCCTGCCAAAGTAATGTATGGACTCCTGCAATGTGAGTAATTTCCTTTTTTTCAGCTAGCTAGCGACCCTCTGCGATTTCTGGCACCAAACTCAAAGTCGCAAGATTTGAAGCAGCATTTTTGAGAGCGTTCTCGGTGGCTAGCTCAAGGAATCTTATGCACCCATCAAAGAGTGCATGCCTTCTAATGATTTTAAGGAACAAGATTTTGAGTTTAGGTTCAGGCAATGTGAAATCATTGAATTCTGTTTGAAGTACGCAAGAACTCTCGAGCCAACCTAATATCTGACTTGATATATTTGCTCACCATATCCATTCAGTGAACTCACAAACATCTAGGACAAAATTTTTTGAGAATTTCCGTCTAGCAAATGCTCCCATCCAGATGAGACAAGCGAATAATTGTTTATTCAATTTGCTCTGATCAAACATGGAATGTAAAAGTCCGGTCTGGCGTGACCCCTCCCAGAATAAAAGTTACTTGCAGGCTACATACTTTAATTGTGTAGCTACAGAGTATGTGGCAACAATCAAAAATGCTTGCGCTTCTTCTCTTAACAGTTCTACGTAAGTCCCGGCAATATCTCCAACCATTTTGCGTCATCACAGCTAGAGCTTTCTTCTAGAGTACGGCTCTCAAGCAGAAGACTGCCTTAAATGCATTTGTTTGCAAGAGTCAGGATGTAAGCCCATTGGATGTCATATGGATGTTGGTTCACTTTCGTGTGGTTACTACCAGGTTAGTTCATCAAAAACTGTCTATATAATCTTTTATTATAAAAACTGGTTCATTCTGAAATGCAACGATTATTGTTTTTCTAGATCAAACTTCCTTATTACAAGGATTGTGGAACCCCTGGACGCAAAAATGGTGAAGATGTAACCACCGCTTGGAAGAGATGTGCCAATGATTACAAATGCGCCACACAATGCGTCAAGGTGTTACCATTTCTCTAATTTCAATGGAATTTTTCAAAAATTTACTTAGGCCTATATGAACCGCTACAAGAAACAATGTGCTTCGATTGGTCAATCCTCATGCCAGGCCATGGCTCGCTTGCACAATGGTGGCCCTTCTGGATGCAGCATTTCTGCTACCATTAAATACTGGAATGCCATCAAAAAGTGTTGCAAATGCTCTTAAACTTGCTTCTCCGAAAGTTATTGCCTAAATGAATTTTCAGAAAATCTGTCATGTTTGAAGAACGCATAAAACCAACTACCCTATACCTTTGGAGCTGCTCAAGCAGAATTCTTTGCTTATGCAGCGAACTAGGGTCGCCAGAGGAGAAAATGATTCGCATATTCCGTCCTTCCTGTATTATTTTTCAAGATAACTTTACAACTTACTGACATACCCTACACAACAGCCATGTACTGTAGCCTTCACTCTGAAAAACGTTAAAAAGTGAAAAAACAAATCAAATAAATGCAGGCATATGGGTTAAAAGCACTGAAAACTTCTAGTTGTTTTAAAAGTTCTTGCGTCTTAAACAAAAATCAATAACATTTCAAATACCGAACCTAAACTATAGTCAAGTATCCTTCTAATATTGCAAGGCTTCCGCTTCATGATGGATGCTCAAGCGCACCATTCCATGAGCTGGCCATTGAGAGCGAAGCTTCTGAAAATAGCTGTTTGAAATTTGCGATTTTGAGTTTGGGGCTAGAAAAACGCGGGGGGGGGGGGGCGCTAGCTAGCCTAAAAAAAGTGAAAAACTTTCTTACATATCAAAAGTCTATAAATTAATTGGGGAGGCTTCGATCCCGTATGGAAATGTAAAATAAAAAATTCATGGAAAATATCATTTTACAGGAAAAGTCCCCTAACCTCAGTTTTCCGGAGAAACACAGTCTGGAACCAGAAATTACACCTAGTGCTCATATAGAACACTGTGACGTTTTTTCGAGCATCAAGCAGTGTTTCTCTGAAAGAGTGCAGCAACAAGAAAATTTAAATTGACATTTTTGACAAATATTTAATTTTTGTGTTTCCATAAGAGGTTGAAGCCCCCCCCCCAAATGATCTATGGACTCCTGCTGTGTCAGCAAATTTTTATACATATTTTAAAGGCTAGCTAGGGACCCCCTGCAATTTTCTAACACCAAACTCAAAATCGCAAATTTTGAATAGCTGTTTCCAGAAGCTTCGCTCTCGGTGGCCAACTCATATTAGGTTGTCCGGAAATTAATGCAGGTTTCTGCAGATGCATTTTCAAAGGGATCGTTCTTCTGTATATGTGCATATTTCGACCAACTTTACATACTATAGGAAACCTCTCTTCATGCTCTCTCTTATATGTATAACCTCCACAATCAACTTCGTTTGTTTAAAATCTACAACCATCCGAAGATGAAGCTTCGGATCACAAAATTTACCTTTTGCACTATTTTGGCTTGAACTTATTCGGCAGGAAGGGTATTTCCATGATAATATAGCTTCCTCGAAACTATTGTGAGAGCAAAGAAATTGAGGCTTTATAATGAATAATTGTCGCGGCGAGTCCATGGCGTAGAAAACTTTTTTAAAGAAAGCAACCGTGAATATCTCTCCTCGTGCTTGAAGAGGGAGGCCAGTGCTGTCAGATATCATTTCAACTGGTACCTCTCAGGCTCTCTTTTTGTGGAGTCAATAAAAAAATCAAAATTATCGGAGATCGCCTCCGCGGTTGAAATATCAAAAAAACGGAAGATTTTGATTCCGTAATTTTTTCTTTTGCAGAGAATTCCTTTGAAAAATTCTGCATGGCTATATATGTAGTACTGGACTGTATCTATAAGCTGCAGAAGTTTCTCGCTGAACGCTCATATCCAATAGGAGTTTACAATTTGCCAAATATGATCTTATTAAAGAAAAACCTTCTTACTTTCTGGCTTCCAGCAATTTGCCTGTTGGAGCTACAGAAATAAGTGGGCATGCTTTAGATAGACCAAGAGTTGTTGATCACAGCAGTTTTTACCTTATTTCAAAACATGCAATTTCGAAGGAGTTATGACACTTTGAAGTGAGATTTTGCAAAACCTGCATTAATTTCCGGACAACCTAATAGAATGGTACGCTTGAGGATCTGTTATGTATAACGCGAAAGCCTTGCGATATTTTTAGGATACCTGGACCATGAGTTTGGGTTAAGTATTTGAAAGTTATTGATTTTTGTTTGAATTAAACAAGAACTTTGCCTGAAATTGAAATCAGCCTAATATTTCACGCAGCTCTTCTTTTTCTTTTCAGCAGTTATGATTTGGAGTGGTTGGTTTTGTGATCGCTGAAATAATCGCCGAAATTTATAACCCATGCTTTTAAATGCGGCCAACAGCTCGGCATGAAGTGGCTTTTTCAAGTTTTCGAAAACGAAGTCCCCCGCAACTTCACTACAGAAACACGACATCACCTATGACGCGATCATGGTTGGATCACACAGGAATAACCAAGAATAATAAAACAAAACTCAAAAACAGCATTGAACTGAAGAAAAGGAATTAAAAAATTCGTATTCTGCGAATTGGCGGCATGCTGTGCCCCGCGCTCACCATTGTGCGCTTGGGGCAGGCTTGCCTCATGCAAAATATGTGGAGGGTTGTAACTAGGTGATGTCAGGTATAAGGGTTCATGACGCCCTTACCTGATGTGTAGCGGGTTTATATAGGTCTTTACTATAATATTTATCATACATAGTTATATACAGAAAGGGAAAGGGAAAGGGGGAAGAGGGCACCGGCTCCTGCCGGCGGGCGGAGGTCACTGCCAGAGGTTGGCTGTCTTCGGCCAACCTCCTTCTCGAGCAGCTGTTGTAGCTAGCTGCGTCCCGACATCTCCATTCCTTCAGGAAGCTCGTCCTCGAGCTTGATAGATTGAGGTTTCGAATTGTAGTTAGGATTGGCGTGGTTGATGTTCTTCCGGGTAACGTGCGTTGGAATATGCACGTAATATACGGCGAGTACGTACAGTTGACGTGATGATATATTAAAATACATACAGATGTGAGGATATGGATCCGGTGGACTGCGAGCAGACACGACCTTCACCTAGAATATCCTATGGCGTTGAGTAAGATCGTCCTCGAGCTTGAAGGTAGCTGAGGAGAGGGGGAGGAACTGCGGAGAGATGCAGGTGATGTGAATGGGGTTCCCGACATGATGCTGGGAAGGAGTTGGAGTGAAATTGTAGGGAAGGAAGATGGACCTATTGATTTTGGGGCATGGTAAAAATGGAGTTGATCGAAGAGCAAATGATTTAACATTTGGGGTAGAATTTACAGCATTTAGAAAATTTGTACTATGAAATTACTGAACATACGAAGTAGAAGGTAAAAAAAAACTGGTTAACAGCAAATTATTCTACGATGATAATAATGGTAAATTAGTGATAGATTCATGATACTTATACGCAGAAAAACTTTAACAGTAATTTCTAGGCAACTATAAAACATAATTTAATAGTAATTTTACAAAATTACAAAATTTTGTTCACAGTAACATCTTCTGTGAATAATTGCATGTAAAAACAGAGGCGTAACGAGTTCATATGTTGAATTGGGCACTGCACACTTTTTTCCATTCAACATAAGGGCAAAATTTGTTTGTTACATAAAGGTTTTTTGATGTTGAGCTGCCTAATGCGAAAGATTTCTTTGAATTGCCTGTTCAAAGAAAATTTAAGGTACGTAAATACGCGACGGTGCAGCAAAAATAGGGAAACAAACTAACCTTAGAGAATAAATAGCTACTCATTGCAAAATATCGAATGTATATAAAAATTTGGCGAGCAATTATTCATCCTCTCCTTCGGAATCGATGTTTGGATCCGCTGTAAATGTTTTCTTCAGTTGCAAACGAGGAGTTCGTTTGGCAAACTGAGTTTGTTCAACATTTTCTGGAGTTTTCGGTGGCTTATGTGATATAGTGAGTTTTTGGGGGGAAACTCTAGCCAATGTTGAACTATGAGAATAGATTTTGAGTCTATTCATATGGACACATTGAGTTTTAGTAGGTCCAATCAAATTAGAGATAGTGACATTCGGACGATCGACTTGCACAACCATAAAAGGGCCTTTCCACTGGTATGTGAATTTTGGACGAATAGTGTCGTCTCTTAGTAATACTAAATCTCCAGTGGAAATTTCCTTAGAAAAAACTTCATTATGGAAATCGTAACCTGACTTATACGTCGCTGTTTTGCTGGCGATCTGGTTGCCAACTTCCATAATTGTGGTTTGCAGTGCAGTGGTCAGCTGGTCCGTGAAACTATCAGTTGCGTAGGACATCCTCGAGGGTAACTGATGGACTATGTCGCACCAGGTAATCGGGTGAGGACCATACACAACGAAGTACGGGCTATTTCCTGTGATGTCGGTTAGATACTAGTGTTGTAAGCGAAGAAGATCGGCTGCAGAAAATCAGACCATAGCTCTTTGGCTTTTGGACAGTAAGCCGTTAGAGAGTCTGTAATCACTTTAACCATCCTTTCAACTTGCCCGTTTGCTTTGTGGTTGTAACTTTGTGGTGAACATGTTGGAAATGCCAAGTACTCGGTTCATTTTCGCAAACATTTCACCAGTGTAATTAGACCCACAGTCGGACACTAGTTTGTTAGAAATGCCGTGTTTCAGCCATGACATCGTTTATCCTAGCTTTGACAACAAGCTCTGTTGTCTGGTTGGGGTTGCGGTGCAAATTATGAGTTTGCTGGACGCACAGGCGTGGCGATGAATCAATTACCGTTTATACACTGTCTTAAAGGACCAACAATACCGTGTGCATTAGTTCAAAAGGCGGTGGGAAATTGGAACCAAATAGTATTTTAATTTTCTGGCACGTTAGGCAATTTCGAGTTGAATTTGTGGGTTTCCAAAGTTTTCCGAAAGTATTCAGCAGATATAGCTTTTACGGTTTTCGTAGGTCTAAATGCGATCCAAAATTGGGCTTGTGTTGAAAATCTCAATGATTTTATCTTGACAGGCGCCTTATCAGGAATAATCAGTCGAGACTTATTTTTGAAAGTTAGTAGAGACACTCATTATAGAAAGAGTACCTGCCCAAAGTGTCGGAAAACTATGGTACTGGGAAGGAAATCCAAATCCTTTGTAACTTGATGGGACTTCCATAAATGGAATCGTTTTGAGATTGCTGGGTATGATCCAAAGATGGTAGTGTATGCACCTGTACGGATTCTATTTCCGCAATAGGATAGCGACTAAGGAAATCGCATAGAGTATTGTGCTTTCCAGCATGATACTCAATCTTGACATCGTACGCCTGTAAGGTGGTTTGATATTGGGCGAGACGACCCACGAGATCTGACCTATGCATCAGGATTTCAGCAAAGTATGGTCAGTTGTCAAGGTTATGGAACT